AAAAAAAAAAAAACGAGCCTATTGTATATAACACGTATTATCTTGCCAATACAAGTTGACAGTGGAATTTTGCCAACGATGAACGCTCCTCTAAAGAAGCATTTGGCGGCAATCTGAAGTTTCCAGCTTATTTTAGTCAGTCATAAGCTGTGGTCTCGTTATTAGCTGTTTTTAGTGATTTACGAAACTCCGGTGGCTGGCGAGAATAAAAAATCGCCCTGCAGCCGTCCATATGAAAACAGTTCAACATTTTCATAATTCATGTGAACGGTGGTAATCTTGTAGTTTTGCCAAAAATGGAAACACGGAGCAGTGCTTAATTTGGCGGGAAAAATTTACTCTCCGTGGAAATTGTTTTCGCCCTGTACAGTCGACTGGTTCCCTGGCATTTCAGTAGCCGCTATCAGTTGTTGCTGAAAATTAGAGGATTTTTCTTATTGCTTTTATTCTTGTCTGTAAAATGAGGATTTTTGGGCTGTTCAAAAAAAATTTTTCCAACATATGTCACCTTTAACCTACTGCTGTTCAAACAAATAGTTCTGTGATGGTGTAGCAACAGTGGTAATAGCATTAACAGCAGTAATGATATTAGGTGTAGTTAGTAACGTATATACAAGAAAAAGATGAAAGGAAAAGTAGTGAAAATTTATAGCTATATTATTGTTCTTTGTTTGGGCGAAACGAACAGTTAGTTATCTAAATGGGTTTTACGGCAGCAGTTAAATTTGTGCTACCTCACAGCGAATTGTTTTTTTTTTTTTTTTTTTTAGAAATTCATTTTTTTTTCAGCAGTAAGAAGTCAGTGACCCATCCGTTCTTTTGTAAAATTTGAAAGATGCAGAATGAAGTCCAGATTTATTATAGATGCCTCTTTGGTGACGACGAATTGTATCTTCATTTCACAAACCAGTGTTGTCTGACTTTGGCACCAAAATGTTGATCGTAATATATTGGTCGTAGTCAAACAGTTTATTTTTTTTTAAGTAAATGATGTTTTTTTTTCTTGTTTGTGTCTCTCATTTTCTTGAGCAGAATTTGAGGGAGTTTTCTGCTTTTCTACCTCATTGGGTTTGTTTTCAGCATGCATAATCGTTATTAGAAACAAATGGAACATCCTTTAGTTTCTTTCGGTGGGATTTGGTTTCGAAAAATAGATATTTTTTTGTAGCTTTACTTTTAGGCCTTATAATGGCTGTTCTCCGATAAGCCTTTCATATTTTATCAGCTTTCTGTGGACTAAAATCTTTATTATCCGATGTTGAAATGGTTTTTTTTTTTAGTCTTATTTGCACAGCTTTGGAACTTTATGTCTACGTTTTTCAGGTGTCATTGTATCTTAGAATTCTTACAATTTAGTATGATTAATTTTGAAGGTTTGCTGATTTTGCTTCGTCTTTAAAGTCTGTAAAATTTGAACTTCAGACGGCAACTAAAAAGAAAACGATTTCACGAGGTTTTTTACTGAAGGTGTGTTTAGCATCTACAATCCAGGATGAAAATTATAGTTAAGTGGGGGCGGGAGAAGCTTGAAGTCGACGCTGATACAGATGAGCCACCTTTAGTTTTTAAATCACAGTTGTTTGCACTGACTGGAGTAATGCCTGCTCGACAAAAAGTTATGATCAAGGTTTGAAAATTTCACAATAGTTCCTTTACTTCCCTTCCACATGTTTCATAACGGAAATTTTGAACAGTGTAACATTAACAATATTTTTCTTTGCATAGAATTTCAAAAAGTTTTTATAGTTATATTTAAAGTGTTTTCTACTTGCTTGTTTGCCCACAAATGAACAATTGTTGATTTAAAAATTCATAAGAAGTGTTCACTCTTATCTTCTTTTAATTTTTATGACTAGATTAGGACTTTTAGGGTAAAATCCTTGGTGATGATAGCTGGAGTAGATTTCATCTAACAGAAGGTGCTCAGATAATGATGATGGGCAGTGCTGAAGCCGTACCCGAAGCTCCCAAAGAGCGAACACAGTTTATAGAAGACATGACAGAGGCTCAGGTTGCTTCTTTTACATGGTGTCTTTAAGCGTTTTCTTGGTTGCTTAAAAAAGATTGTGGCGTCACTTTATGCCTCGTCACCTTATTTTGGGAAATTCTGGCAGTCCTTCTGAAAGTTGAATTAGTTTTACAGAGTAGTGGTGGATAATAATTTTTTTGCATTCATTTTTATTAATTATCAACAGTTGCCTCGAAACTCAGTGAATGCACGACTTTTTCAGCTACATTTGGTATAGCGTTTGAGCTGAAAAAATTGTTAGGTTTAGCGACATGGTAGTTTTTCAACTTTTGGAAATTGTTTTTTAAAAAGTCACTTTGGTTCCCCTGATCTCTAACAGTGAATCTGTTTTAAAAAAAGAAGTGCTAATTGATTTTTTAATAATAAGCTTTTTAAATTTTTATTGACACTTTTTTATTTACTCTACACATCGTATCTGCTTAACTCTAAAATATTTTTTAGTCGAAGACTGTTAAAATTCGGCTACTTTTGACTAGCTTTTTTTTTTTGCAGGCGTCTGCTGCCTTGAACCTTCCTGTTGGATTAAAAAATCTTGGAAACACATGTTATATGAATGCAACGCTTCAATGTTTTAGAGTAAATTTTGACTTTCTCTTTTGGATATATTACTTATTTTTTATGGAAACCGCTTTGAAAATGTCAAACTCTCAACCGTTCTAATCGTTCTTCGATTCTCATTGCTCATAAATGGGTTTTAAATTTTAAGGTGATACCGGAGCTTAAAGAAGCTCTTTTCAAATTTCAAGGTGGTGCTCAATCTTTAGTTCCTTCTGAGGCAGGTGCTAGTACAATTACGGGGGCTGTACGGGATTTGTATAGAATGATGGAAAGCGAATCCTCAAAAAGAGTGGGAAGTGTCATACCATTGTATATGATTCAGGTGAGCCTTTAAACTTTAAAACTCAAAAATGGACTCTATGATCTTATTTTTCAGTAGGTTTTGCTATTTTGTTATATTTTTTATTTTTTAAAAAGAAATGAATGCAACGCTTTGATGTTTTAATCTTGTTGCAATATTTCAAACAATTTAGGCTTTACATACTGTAATGCCACAGTTCTCTACGCGTGATGATCATGGTCAGTGGATGCAGCAGGATGCTAATGAATGCTGGACTGAACTTTTACGAAAGTTTCAGACTCAGCTAAAAGTTGAAGGTTTCAAAAGTTTTTCTTTTTATTCGTTGACACTATTGCTTTGTGTACTGAACGACTCCAGAATCCACAGTCTGCAAATTTATAAATTGTTTGCTGTTGTTTTTTTTTTCTCTTCTTGGCGTCTTCTTTTCTCGTAAATCTCTACGTTTTACATTTAGGAAGCGAAGCAAGTCCAGCAAGTTCCGTAGTTACTCAGTTCATGGAAGGCCGTTTCCACGTCACAATGAAAAATTTGGAAACAGAGGAAGAACCAGTATCTGAGTCCAGCGAGAAGTTTCTTCAAGTAATTTTGATACTTTTCACATTTGCATCAGGTTCTTCATTTTTTACTAATTAAAGTTTTCAATAACTTTTTAGTTGAGTTGTTTTCTGAGTCAAGAGGTGAAGTACGTTCAACTGGGCATTAAAGGAAAGCTTACCGAAGAAATAGAGAAATTATCAGGAGTACTTGGTCGTAATGCTAGGTATGAAAAGAAAGCCCTTATTGACCGTTTACCTGGTTATCTTTGTATACAAATGGTTCGATTTTTCTATAAGGAAAAGGACAAGGTCACGTAGGCTTCAGTCTAATTAGATTTTTTTGCCTTTACTTTTTTCCTTTCCGTTCTTAAAGTTTTCATGACTAAACTTGTTTCATTTGCTTCTAATCGGCTTATAGTTTTTGAAAGTTGTTGATTTACATTATTTCTTAACTCTTCAGTTAGAGTATTTTAAGAGCTTCTTCCTAAGAAATTTTAATTTTTTTGTTTCAGGTGAATGCAAAAATTTTGAAAGATGTGAAATTTCCTATTAACCTGGATATGTTTGACATGTGTACTCCAGAACTTCAACAAAAGTTTCTTCCAATGCGAGACGCTTTTAAGGTTCGTGAACACTAATTTTTACATGTACTCTTTCATTTATAACGTTTGATTATTGACTAAGCATCGGATATCCTTTAAGAACGAGGAAGAAAGGAAATTAGAGGCATTGCGCCTTTCTAAAACTGAAGATAGTACCAAAGAAGAAAAGAAGAAACCAGATAAAGAAGCCAGATATGCACCTTTTAGCTTTGAGGACGACCCGGGATCAAATAATAGTGGCTTTTACGAGCTTCAAGTTTGTTGTTTTTTTCTTTTAGTGAATAGTCTTTTATTTGGGCTGTGGAAAAGACCGCTGTGGTTTAGGTGCACGTAAATCTTTCCGACATACACTGAAATCTCGTCTCATAATATCTTCTGGTATAACTCTGAAATAAGGAAAAACAAGCTGGAGAATATTTAAGAGATTTAGGCCTAGTATTTAGATTTAGTATTTAGGCTCAGTATTCTTGTCTCTTTTTGAATGCTTGTTACCGTCTTTTGTACTGCTGTAGGGTAAGACTGATTTAATTTCTATACAATTTTATTTACAATGAGGTGTTGGAAAAGCTCTTAAAGTAGCGTAAAAAATAGCACCGCTTCCAGAAGGGATTCAAAAACACGTTATAAAAAAGAATTTCCACGTTGCGGGTGCTCCAGCAGCTGAGGTCTTGGGTATTTCCAGCTAATCACTGGTGTATTCCGAATGAAACTTCAGCGTTGTTTACCTTTTCCTTCAAGAGCCTCGAATTTAGAACATACTAATTTGAAATTCACTCTGATGTTGATCCTGCTTGAAAGGAGCGCGAAGTATTTCATCTCTTTTGAATTTTTTAGAACTTTATTTGTTTTTTATATTCATTCTTATTTTTTACTTTTGGAAGGAGTGGGATGATTCATTTAAGGTATAGGAGTTACTGTACTTCGATGATTTATTTTTATTTGCTTCTTTGCAAATATCCTTGTTTGCGAGGCTATGTTAACAATTTTGCATAAAATATTTTTGTGGCTGCATTACTGTTTTTGTGAATTGAGAAGACCCCTCAGCAAAGCGATAAAGCGATGTTGGTAAGATATGCGTTCTGAAAGACTAACTGCATGATACGATTAATTTTGTTTTCTGTCAGTTGAAGAGGGTTTTTCAAAAGAGATCCAGAAATGATTATAGAGTGTTGAGATCGGCTTAGATAGCAGTCATTTATGTTATTTTGTAAAGAATTTAAGTCTGCCTAAATGACCATGTCTTCGTTTATGATGGACTTCAATGAGGAAATGTTGATACTGGAATGTTTAAAGCAAGTCGGTTTTGAAATTTTTCGCCAAGGCTGTTTAATAATTATTCATTTTCTTTTTTAGGCAGTGTTGACTCATAAAGGAAGATCGTCTAATAGTGGACATTATGTTGCCTGGGTTTGCGTTGGGGAAGACCACTGGGCTATGTGTGACGATGACGAAGTGATTACTTTTTTGTTGTAGTACTTACACTTGAGTTTGTGGGCTGTGTTGAACCTTCTCGCTACCTTCACTTTTATGGTTATTTATTGAAGAGTTAAGTCAGAAATAACTAGTTTAGGTGCATCCTGTTACTAGTGAGGATGTCGCGAAGCTGTCTGGTGGTGGAGATTGGCACTGCGCTTATTTATTGCTTTACGGTCCAAGGCGACTGAAGTTACATTAAGTTATAAAACGAGTTGTTTTTTTTTTTAAATTTATTTTTGACAATGCCTGTAATAATCATCAGCGAATTGTTGTAACATTCTCTGAAAAGTTTTGCCTTTTTGTTTCTTGCTTCGAACGGTTCTACGTTGTATTCTTCAAAAGATATCCAGTTTATCACCCGGTTATTCACTTTTGAAGAATATTTTTCTGCGGGACTAACAATCTTGTGTTCAAAAAGGTTCAAAGTTATTACTTTCTGTCATTGGATTGGAAATGTTTTCAAATGAATCGTTTTGGAGGTTACAGGAGTAGCCTTTTAAATGTTTTACTTGATTTAATAAGTACGGTTTTGGTTGCGTTCGACCTGAATTTGTGTCATGCAAGCATAAACAGCTTTTTCAAAGTTATATAAATTTTATTGTGTAACTCGCGATTTATCATCAGATTTTTCCAAAAAACTGTTGAATGAAACGTGTAGCATTGATATTTTATAGTTTGACTTCTAGGTCATTTCACCACTGAATATTGAATTGACTCATTTCATTAGCTGTCTTTTTTGGAAATGTAAAGATTTGAATCTCACAATATTTATAGTAGCAAGTGAAGTAAATGAAAGTTTAGTTTGACATTTTTTTGGGGAATAGTAAGTGTGTGGTGTTCCAGTACTTATTATATCGTGCTTTGTTTTTTGTGTCTTGATAAGGCAATTTTTTCGGCAATTCACACGTCATCTGACGGAAGGTCAGAGTAGGGTGGCAGTTCTGAATTTAGCATAGGTCAGTTCCAAATTTAGCGCAATTTCTGGGTTTAAAGGTGATGTAACATAACATTCGGGGTAACTTTTTGAGCTGGAAAGTTTGATCTTTTTGCTAATTTCAGCTGTTTACTGGCCAGCATGAAATTGTGAAGTTTTTTACATGTAATTATTTTTTTGGGAACGGCAGTTGGTATAGGTTGGTGCTGCACATCAAAGATGAATTATACGGTGGTCTACTAATTTTTGCCAGACTTATTCAGATAAAAGTTTTTGAGATGGAAAGGTTGTAAAATTGGTAAATTAAATGGGATTTCAGTTATTGATGATGAATATAGACAAAGTGGGATGGTTTCCTGGAAAGCTGGACCACAAGTGGTGGCACTCATTGCTAAAAGCAGTTTTGAAGATGCGTACTGTCCCTCAACACATTGCATTTATTATGGATGGTAATAGGAGGTACGCTCACTCACACAACTTCGATTCGGTTATTCAAGGGCATTTGGCAGGGTTTGAACAGTTAACCCAGGTAATTTACCGCTTTGTCTTCTCCTTACTGTATTAAAGGGCTTAGACTGAGACGGTGGCGGTGACATCCTTGATCCTTCAGTGTTAATAATCTCTATCATGATGTAAATTAGCTTGCATTCAGAAGCTTGCTGTATGGGCAGTTGCCTTATATTTTAGATCTTGGAGTGGTGTCATGAACTTGGCGTTTCTGAGGTTACGGTTTACGCGTTTAGTATAGAAAATTTCAAAAGAACGGAAGAAGAAGTTAGAGGTTTGATGGACCTTTTCGAGAGCAAACTGGGACAGCTGATTAAAGAAATGTAGTCAAAACAGTTTTTTCAACTACTAATTGCTTTCTTAAATTTGTTCACGTAATTCATCAAACTATTGAGTCACTGGTTTTTTAAGGAGATTTTTGCATGTTTTATCCGTTTGTTACAAGCTGTAAGGAACTGTAGTTCGAGTTTTTCAGCCACAGGTTTGAAGAAAAGGAAATCGCTATACGATTTTACGGTGATCTTTCTTATTTATCTCCAAAATTGCGAAAGCTGACGGCAGAAGTCGAACTTAGGACCATGAATTTCAAAAAGCTAGTTTTATTTTTCATGCATAATCGAACATTTGTTGGGGTTTTACCTTACCATCTGTGTGAGGATGGTTTTTTCTTTGAATAGACTTGGCAAGTAGAAGAAGTGTGAGCGTAAAATAGTAGCGTAACTTTATATATTTCTCAGATTTTTCTATATTTGTCTTTGTTCACTGGAGGGCAAGTGCTTAGCAGTTTTCTCATCTTATAAAGCTGAGAAGTTCTAAATCGTGGAACAAAACCACTTTTAAAATTTATTCATTTCCTAGTGAAGTTGATTTTGAGGAAGAGCATTCTCTATGGCTACAGTTTCTACCTTCTAACGTGTCTTTCTTTTGTTAGATTGGTTCAGCTTTTTTTAGATGTAAATCGGATAGAAAATCTCCATTTATTAAAAAAAAAAGCATAATATAAATCTTCTCTTAAAATTCTAATATTTTTTCACAGGAATCTGCTAAATATATGTGTAGCGTATACTTCTCAGAACGAAATGAAACGTGCTTTTGTCACTATAAAACGCGGAATTCGAAACGGTAGGTTTAGCTTTTGCATCTGACGAGACTAACTTTTTCAGTGAATGAATTAAGGTTTACTGGAGAAAACGGATATAAATGAATATTTAATAGCAAAGTGCCTTGATAGTTCTGACTCGCGTGACCCAGACATGTTGATACGAACCAGCGGTGAATACCGTTTAAGCGACTTCCTACTGTGGCAAGTGAGATTAAATTTCAATTTTCATATTTTGTTTAGTCGTGCTTACAACTTCTCGACCGGAATTTTTGAAAAGTAGGGGATTATTCAAAAAACTCTTAAACTTAAAACTTGAACCATACTTAGAATTAATAGATTTTTAGTGTTCTACATGTTATATACATTTTGACAGCGTAATGTGGCCAGACTTTGGTTACTGGAATTTGTGTAAAGCGTTCCTCGGGTACCAGAACAGCCTTTCAAAAATTGAGGTAGAAAACTTCTTGTTCAGCTGCTTTAGCAAAATCAGATCGTCTTTCAAGTAAAAAAGAGAAAGGACATACAAAGGAGTTTAAAATGTGGTTAAGAAACATAACATGAGCAGCAATATGTTAAAGGTGCGCTCTAGCATGGTCAAATTCCATGAGCTTCCCGTTTTTGTCAAAAAATTTAAGCTTCCTTTCTAGGAAATTAAAGCAGCATGTACTCAACAAGTGGACCCACAGTTTGAAGAGCGGGTCAAGAGCTTTTTGCAGTGGGTAAGGTCAGAAAGAATAAGCCGTCTGAAAAAGTTAGCCGGTAACCTTACCCCATAGCACGTTGCGAAGCATGTGTAAAACTAGGCAAAACCGGATCAGGAACTGTTCAGGACCATAAATCCCCGACTATGAAGTGGGCGAAGGAGCTTCCGCTGCGGTAGATTAATAAAGCCGCTTGCTAGGCGTTTACGTAACGTAATATCATTTTCTGTAAATTTTTGTTCCGAATGTGATGTTTGTCTTGCAAATATGTTGGCTACAAATGTGCTACAAATTAATTTATTTCAACAGTCCGGCTGTAAACAAAATTTGAGAACATTCACGAAAAGGCACCTAAATTCAAATGCAGGATCGATGTCGGTGTGTTTCGTGCGCGGAGAACTTTATTTACTAACAGACACAACATAATACGACAACAGCAACACTATTTACCTGCTAGAAGTCCTCGCATGACCACAGGCTTGTACCCAATCTACCAGCGAAATTTGAAGCAGATTTCCTCATTTCAAACTTCTGGAGTCTGCTTATGAGCCAGCCATAAGAAGGCAATGCTAACCAAGGCAGATATTAAAAACATTAGGTCAAACCACTGATGATAAAAATTGAACTGTAATCCTCCAAGCACTTCCGTTATTATTGATCTGAAATTTTTAAATAAAAGCACACAAAATATGACACTCCAAAAAAACTTAAAATATGAAGTTCCGTTTAAAAAATTCTGAATATATATCGTCGTAACTTCACTAAGGTCAAACCTGTATTCAACAGGCATGTTCATTCGCATTAGAAGTACACTGGACACAAAGTACATACCCTGCAACTCACATTTACAACTTTATTCTCCATAGGTTCGAACAGGCATGTAGGAATTAAGCTCTTCGAATATAAATTCATAGAAAAAGAATCAATAGAGTACCTACCATAATTTGAGCTAAGAGCAGGACAATAAGATTTGATGATTTACTGCTCGAAATTTTATCAAAAAACTTAGTTAACTGAATTAACAATCCACGAATTGATGTAACTACTATAACGCCAACTAGAAGGAAAGAAATATGCTGCGACCAGAACTGCACCTGAGAAGGAAGAATGGAACGTAGCATGAGTTTGCTAAGTGTACAATAATTGCAGATCTTTATTTTCATCTGGCTTTAAAAACAACATTAATCGCTAAGAACTTACATCCAACTGAATTTCCATATACTCCACCGCAATACGAATTCCTTTCGTAACTGGGTCCTCTTTACCAACACGGTTAAAAATAATGTTAATAGTTGAAATGATAATTTTGTAAACACAATAACCAGAAAAGAAATAACCTAACACGTTAAAGTATCGCCCTTGCCACGTTTTACTGTAATCCAAACGGTCCTACAAAATAAAAATTAGGTTGCATTTCTAAAAACTTCCTTCATATCGTAATATGGCAGCAAAGAGCAACCCAATTCTGGAGGGGGCTTGCTGCCCGACAACCTGGAGCAAAAAAAAAAAAAAATTGAAAATCACAAAGCACTGACATGACCTGTTTTTTTACACAAAAGTGGTCAGTTCGAATCTTTAAATTGCAAGGAATTAGCTACCAAACTCCTGTTACAAAAGTAACTAACTTTCATATTCCTTAATTCAACGACTTCCAAGAATATGTAACGGCTTAACTGCTCCAAAGGGATTATTTCGCCATTTAAAGTACTAAAATTCCAGCGCATCAAATGCAGTACCTTGAATATCAAATTTACGAATCCTCGAGCTCATAGGAAAAATCTATCCATAGCCTACTGGTTAAAAAAGAAAGAATAATCGATCGATTCAACCTTATCTGGTCCTTCAAAGTATTTGAAGAGAACGACACAGACCCCCACAGCCTTTGGAAGAGACCACCACGAATCTCATTATCTAGAAATGTTAACAATGTAGACCAAATAATCATACAAGGTGAAAGCAACATACTACCCCACCACACTCATGCCTAAACCCAAAAAAAGAAATTTCTCGGCAATTTTCCGCTCAGCCACCTTTTTAAACCACTAAAAAACAGCAAGTCAAACAAATAGGAATAGCATGCACCATATGAACTGTTCTGAAAATATCAGACTACGAAATTCTTCTACAGAGACCTCAAGAAGACAGAAATATAGTAAACAAAATCGACAGTAATTCAGCCCAAATAGCCGCAAAAAGATTCATGACCAGACGACACACTCGTACAAGCCCCAAAGAGTGTGAAGACAAGATGTGTGGAAAAGCGGTAACAATTGGAGCAGATTTTCTCTCGAAATTATAACTTCAACAAAAAGCCAGCCCTTAACATCAAATGTTGTGCAATCATCGCCAATGCTGGCGGCAAATATTTAGAAAAACAATTTCTGAAGTTTTGCATTAACTAGTGACAGAATACTCAGTACACTAACTTAATGAAATCTGCAGAATTGGACTGTTGAGCATTTCAATAAAATGAAGAGACCCATTCAGCTAGATTTTGCTATATCATCTAACTATATGCCATGTAAACGTTAACATACCATCAAACGATAAATCATATTTTTTTATTGGAACTCTCAATCCCTTCAAAAATTGTTAACTTCTAAGGACAACTTCGGGCTTGCCAAACTGAAAACCTCCCCCCAGTAGCCCCCCCCCCCCTCCGTATTGAACAACACTCCACTAAATGATAAAAGCTAATGCCCTACTGCAAAAAAAGAAAAACATGGAAATTCATAGTTCATCACTCTCTTTCCAGGATTATTTCTAGAGTTATTTAGAATGAAACAAGATTAGAACAAGCGAAATGTGAATTTATCCAAAATGCTTCAAAAGTCCACCTAATCCATACGAGTGAGCGAACGCTGCAGAAGAAAATTTCCACTATTTTTCCCCTCCTCCAATTCCTTCCATAACTTATCACCCAATAGTCTTCCTAGCTGACGCCTGTTGAATCCCAACTACAAAAAATTTACAAAACAATTTTTCCAATATTTTTAGAGCTTGCGTAGAACAAGGTTCTTGTATTAATTTAGAACTTGTCAAGAAGTACCAAGTTTTGTAATCAACATGAAGACTTAGAAATATTAAACCTTATTAAGACAAAGTAATCTGCAGCTTTTCAAAATTTGTTTCAGCCAAGAATGTGTAAGAAGTCTCGTCACTTTGATGGGATACTAAGGGGCAGGAGGAATAAAATGTGAATATTGGTTAGCAACGAAAAACCAACAGTGCTTTACCGGGCAGCAAATTCAAAGCTAAGCTTAAATATCCATATCTGCCAAAGAAATCATGAAAGAACTGCATTTTAAATCGCTGTGTTATCCCTACCATTTTACTTTTGTTTAACCTGACAAATTTTTTATTATTATTACTGTACTTCTTGTGAAAGCGCTGTTTGTCAACTCCCTCTCCAATAAACACAGACGCCTCTTCTTAGCGACTATTGTGCTCATCGTTCGCATCAATTTAATTTCCATCTTTGTAATACTAGACTGTTCAACAGAACGTGTAAAGAATGCCAGGCACGTATAAGGAGCATTGACAGCACCAAACCCAGACAGAACTGCCATAACTGTTACTCCGATTACCCCAACTCTAGAGATCGCTTGTTCTATTGTAAAAATCCCTGAAGAAAGCCATGACTTGAGCTTATAAACACCAATACGCAATAGAACCCTAAAAATATATACAAACCATGTTTGGGACTCAGTATTGGAAATGGATCTCCCGTTTTCCAAAAAAAATATATAAATACCAGCCAAGCCGAAAAAGTCAAAGGCAGCAACCAGTTACGACGAACTGAAAAAAAGTAAACTGCTAAATCAGTAGGCAAATAAAACTTGCGCATCAATCAAAAACTTAATAAAATAGAGAAAAAAAAAAACAAAATTACAAACGGTCAAGCCAAACGACCCACCAAAAGAGATCGAGCTCAAGATTGAAAAAGATACATAATTTGGTAAAACAACAATAAGTACGAACAACACGGAGTAAAGAGCGAGTTTCCAATGTAGGAATCTTGAACTAAAACAAAAAATCATAAAATAACGTTCCTCGTTTATCTAAAGCAAGTAAGAAATAGAATATTAATTTGAAAACTGCAGAATAAGGCAAAACAAATTTGTTCTGAAGCAAAAACTTGCCTCGGCTCAAGGACCCCGAGAATTTCAAAAATAATCAACTCAAATAGAGTGCATGATAACGCAAAGGTTATTGAAAAAAATAACTGAACCATTTTTTGGTGTACTTCATAGTCACGAAAAAGCTGCTTCATAAAAAACAACCAGCCAAGAAAGAAAAATACGACCTAAAAAAACCAATAAAATGCTAAATCAGCAATGACTCAGCAACACATACCAACCCAAAAAACTTATGAGATGTCAAAGGTAAGAACTATAACATTACACTTCCTATTGTTAAAACCCATCAGCTTTATTTGTTAATCTATTGTTGCCATTTTTTAGCGAAAGTGATGAAAATAATGACGAACCTCACTCAGATTTGGGCAAGTGGTTTTTAAAACTAGTGCTCGAAAGTAAATATAATAATAATACACTTTTATCAGCAAATTTTTGAAATGCGAAAAAAATCAAATGGTCAGACTTCTAAACAGTACCTGTGATAAAAAAATGACTGTGGTGTCTCGTGCAACAGCCATTGTCCTGAAACTATTTAAAATACTGTACTAAAACTGCTGCGTGATTTTGAAAAAAAGATTGTATTCGCGCAACTGCTATCTGTTGCAGCCTTTCCAAAGCAACTTTCCTATTTTATTACTTCATAGTAACAAAATCAATACAGTGGAAAATGCAATAACGAGTCGTGGATCACTCCTTAACCTTCATTTTCCACAACATTTCCTATCTTTCATCCCTGAAACAAGCAAAAATTATCCGAGAAAAACGTGATTACTGAAGTCATCTTAGACCGCTTTGAATACACGAAACAAAAAAGGAAATGCTACAAATCAAAATCTTGATAAAGTTAAACTCAAACAAACAGACAAGGAAAAAACACTCGAGATCTTATACATAAAAAATTCAAGTCATACTCTAACAAAACAAAAATTATGAACTTGCTCCTGGGACGGCAATATACAAAAACGAGAAAGAAAAAATGCACAAGTATACGACAAGCTTCAAAAGCGTTTCCAGGTTAAGAAGCGTTGACGAAAAAAAACGCTTATTTTCTCTATACCGAGAAAAATATATTTTCTGTTCAAATCGAATACTTGTTTAATTTACTTCAATATCATTGTTCGGGTCGATTAAAACCTAACAACACCTAAGAATAATACAGCACAACGGAAGCAAAAAGCATCAACATTTATACAATAACATATAACTAGCCCACAGTACGTAGCAGAACACCAGAGAGAAATTCAGACCCAGCTGCCAAAAATTTTTAAACTCTGGAACTTCAATATCACGAAAATGTTGAAACAAACTCTTTGTACCGAGCATTACCTTGATTAAAAAACATATTTCTTGTGGTCTTAATCCGTTCAATTCTAAACTACAACTTCTGGATGACTGGAAACTTTTTGAAAGTGATATCTATAAGCTATTAAAAGCGCAAAAAAAAATCTGTTAAAAGTGATATCACTTCCAATTGCTTTCTATTATTTTTCGGGAAGAGCTTTTTTCGCACTTCGCCCCTATAACGTACCATGCAAAACTGCCTCTAATTCAGTCACGATTAGAAAAATAGAAAATTTTTAAACGTGTGGTAAAAAAAGGTATAAAATAAAAATTTATATTTGGTACAAGCTGCCTATCTTCAATCAGTCAAAGAATACAAGTCACCATATCTATTCACCTCGCCTACGCAGGCTGTCCTATACGAAATTTACTTACATTACAAGACGTAATTAAGAGTTTTTCTAAACATTTATTCTTCACCAACTTTTTAAATTAATTCAGACGATGACAAATACTGCCAGCATCGGTCAGTGAAGAGAATGCCTGGGCAATTAATTATAACTGCATTACAAAACTGACTTCGCCACAGTGAAGTATACAAAGATTAATGTAACATTTTAAAGGTAACCCAACTAACCACAGAACCAATAACGAAGCAATCGACAAACGAGCGTACTTGTGCTACCACCGCACACCGGCAACAGGACCTGCTCTGTAAAAATCTGCATAAAGAAGAAAATACCTTTTGTTATAAAAGTTTGAAGAGCATAAAAGTGTAAAGAAAACTCAAATTTGCAGAAAATAAATTAGCACAGAAGGAAAGTTGGCTACGAACAATGAAGATAATTTTTTATATTCTGCACCGTACAGTGAAAAAACGTTCAGTTTCTACTCCACCGGCACGCCACAATAGCGAACACAAATCAGATCCTTTCAGTGAGACAATGGTAACGTCTTTTTATGATACATAGTAAACTGCTTCTTAAACGGAAAAGCAGTCGTTTTCATCCAAAAACAAGAAACATTCTGTCATAACAAGCATATTAGAAAAGTTAAACTAAGCTACAAAAAAAATTCAAAATTTTAGCGCCGAACCTCCACAGTTATAGTACTTTGCCAACATGAAATGACACAAAAACCAATGAGCTCACAAGTGATTTCATGACAAACCGCTCATCCCAGATCATATTAAATTTTGCTGGCTAAAAAAATCAGCCTTCAATTCAAGAGATTTCAAAAAGTAAATTCCCGCCAAACTATGCCCTGGCATTGCCACACCCAAAAACTCGTGATTTGGCTATAAATTGACATAATCTAATACAGTCCGTTTCATTTCCAATACGGTGTGAAAATTTTTGCAGGCAGAAAAGCCCTCTTCTGGAGGAATTCCAGCGGTTTTGACTCAATGCCACTGTGTATTAAAAAACCAGCCGGGTGTTATCCGACTTGCTTTCATAAAACTGTCATTAACTTTTGC